ATAAGACCCAACCAGAAAATAAGCCCTAGCATGATTTTTAGCACGTGCCTAATATAAGCCCTAGACCAGACATGTCAAACACAAGGCCCGGGGGCCGGATGTGACCCACGAAGTGGTTTCATGTGGCCCGCAAAGCCATCCTGGAAACAGTGAGGGAACGGCCCCCTCTGCCTTGGCCCTGGCCCAGGCCGGCAGGGAGCCAATGTACAATTTTGTGGTGGCCATCTATGCTGAAATGCATTCAGTCTTAGCTCCACAAGGCCGTCTAGAAACAGCGAGGAACCAGCCCCTGCTGTGTCAGCCCCACCCCCTGGGTGCATGCTGGAGAAGTGTCACCCTTTGTGAGGAATGAAGAAATGGACCATGCCTTGGCGCTTGCCCCGGTCCCATCCCCTTCTGCCAGAGACCCTCAGATCTGTCCCACTCCTGCCCAGGCCCCCACAGGCACCCTTGACATGAACGATGTAGAGCTGGCCACGCCCACCCAGTAGGCCGCACCCACCCGGCCCCCCGAGGGCAACCGCAATGCTGATGCGGTCCTCAATGAAATTGAGTTTGACACCCCTGCCCTAGACCCAAAATAAGCCCCAGTTAAGAACCCGGGGTGTGTGTGTGTGGAGCTGCCCCACGCACCCCACACCTGCGCACCTCAGGACCCCGCAGCCAAGCCACTGCCTGCTCGGTGACCTCCCCTCGTTTGTTCAATGACCCAGCTGCCCGCCCACCTCTTGCCTTTCACTTCCCTCCTGAGCCAGACTGCCATGCTACAGAGGATGGGCAGGGGAGGCTTGGCCCCCTTACCCCTCTGCCATTTTGGAGCCAGGGTGGAGTGATGGCGAAAGGTCTCTGCCGCCATTGCTGCTGGAGGGGTTTTCTTTGGTCTCCGCTGCCCTTGCCCGGCCCCGCAGATCACCTGCCCGCCGGCAGCCGCCTTCCCCGTTCACCTTCCTGTAGATCAGGAAGCCGGCAGCCGCCTCCCCTTCCTCCGCCTGCTACTTTTGTCCTATGGTGACGCCTTGCACTGCCTGCTCCCCGGTCACTGCCTGTATTGTATGGTTTCAATGGCAGCAGTTCTGGAGACCGATGGTAGGAAACTGTGGCAAGCAGAGCAAGATAATCTTTCTCCAACCATGAAGGGGACTAGGTGGCCGAAACTGCCAGCCCAGGGACGATGCAGAGCCTCAATTCTAAACATTATGGCTGGAGGAAACCAGGCACCGCTCATCACCTTGCCAATATCATCCCAACAGTGAAGCATATTGGGGGGGGGGGGGTTTCAGCAGCAGGAACTGGGAGATTGGTCAGGGTTGAAGGAAAGCTGAATGGAGCAAAGTACAGGGATATCCTCAATAAAAATCTGTTCCATAGAGCTCAGGACCTCAGACTGGGCTGAAGGTTCATTTTCCAACATGACTATGATCCTAAGCATACAGCCAAGACAACAAAGGGGTGGGGCTTAGGGACAACTCCATGAATGTCCTAGAATGGCCCAGCCAGATCTCTAACTTGAACCCTATTGAACATCTCTGGAGGGACCTGAAAATGGCTGTCCACCGACGGTTGCTATCCAACCTGACTGAGCTTGAGAGGATTTGCAAGGAAGAATGGCAGAAAATCCCCCAATCCAGGTGTGCAAAGCTTGTCTTATCATACCCAAAAAGACTTGAGGCTGTAATTGTTGCAAAAGGTGCTTCAATAAAGTATTGAGTGAAGGGTCTGAATACTTATGCCAATGTGCTATTTCAGTTTTTTCTTTTTAATAAATTTACAGACATTTCTAAAATTCTGTTTTCACTTTGTCATTATGGGGTACTGAGTGTAGATTAGTGAGAAAAAAAAGATTTTCAACAACTGTAGAATCAGGCTGCAACATAACAAAATAGACAAAAGCGAAGGTCTGAATACTTTCTGAATGTTCTGTACACACACTCACTCACTCATACACACTCAGGTAGTCCTAGACTTTTAACCACAATTGAGCCCTAAAATTTATGTTGCTAACTAAAACATTTAAGTGAGTTTTGCCTCATTTTACGACCTTTCTTGCCACAGTTAAGTGAATCATTGCAGTTAACAACATTGTGTTACAGTAAGTAAATCTGGCTTCCTTGTTGACTTTGCTTGTCAGAAGGTGACATGGCCCTGGGCACTGCAATGGTCATAAAAATGAACCCATTGCCAAGCATCTGAATTTTGATCACGTGACCAAGGGGATGCTGCAACGGTTGTGTGAAAAACGGTCATAAGTCACTTTTTTCAGTGCCATTGTAACTTTGAATGGTCACCAACTTGGTTTTCTAAGAATAACAATAATTGAGTTTTACCATAGTGCTCTGTCTGAATAACAATAAATTGTCATTAAATGGAAGAGAAAACCATAAATGTCTGCTTCCAACTATATTAAAGAATGTAATGCTTATGATTTGTTCATACTGTACATAATTAAGTCTACTGAGAGGTCATGTGATAACTGGCAAGTCACATCATCGTGAACTTTTGCCAAGATCAATATGTGAAACAGTTCTCCAAAACCTTAGGACCATTAACATCCAGAAATCTCTGCCAGTTTTCACCTGCCAGGCACCAAGTTGGGGAAGGGTGCTATAAACACATACGCTCTTTTATTTTTGTAGTTGTTTACTTGACTAAGCTAAGCAGGAGTAAACTAATTGTGCTGGCTTCACTTTCAGTTGTGCAACCACATCAATAAAGGAGAAGTAATATAAAAGAAAGCCAGGGTAATGTTTTTCAGCTTGCTCAGAATTATAAAAATATACAAATTAGTGCAAATTAAGTCTAAAGGCAGAAATATTGCTGATTAATAAAACGCTGACTTTTTTTTCTATCTAAGATGGCACCTGCTCTGAAAGAACTTACATTTTGCACAGAAAGATTTAGGATGCTTTGATTTTACACTATTCTAGGAGATAGTAATGGGGAGAGAGGGCCTTAAACAATTACATGTGTGCCCATTTGTGGGCCAATCTGATTTTATAAGAGTTACCTATACCCTGGTTACACTATAATTATTACAATGAACTCTCCTCAAAGAGCACCTGAAATCTTTGCAGCAAAATATGGCAGCTGAGCTGCTTATCTATACCTAGGACAGTACTAATGTCATATTGCATACTTATTAGAAGTCCCCTGGTAGCTACTGACTGCTTTCTGGACTAAATTTCATATGCTTGTTTAAGCTATAAAACAATTTATGGCCAGATTATCTGAGGATTGTACTGTCCTTGTAAAACATTTGAATGTTACAATCTGGCAGGGGAATTCTAAAGAGTTACCAGCTTGTATAGGCCTACTTATAATTACCAAAACCAGTATCAATTACCTTTTAGGCTAATCTATTAAGACAAAGTTACTAGATAAAAAAGCCACCTATGTTAAAGTGCACATTATGAAATGTAGATACTGTATGCATATTTATTCCAGATATCAAAAGTGTACCAACATGTTATTTTTAAACTGAATTTTTCTAGGTATGCTTTTTAAAAAAACCTTAAAGTGAGCTTCTAGTAGCCTCTTTTACCATGAGAGTGAGAGAACAGAACTTGAAATATAAATATCTTTAAAATATGGTCAGCATCTCTAGACTTTGATCCTCAAACCCACAATGTTATGGCAAACTTGGAAGAATTTGCTTGCCAAGCAAAAGCGGAAGCCAGAGAAATTCCTTGCATGTATTTCCATATTTCACATCACAGGGCAAAAGAAACCCAATGTTCACTTTTCCATTTACAAATAAGCAATGCTGGGCAACACTCATAAATCTGGGGACAATCTATCAAGCAGTTGTCCACAGAGACTATATGCTTCAAATAATACATAGAGAAAGCAGTTAAAAGCACAAATCACAAATAGCACAGAACAAATTATATAAAACCAGTATTCACTGGCAGTATGTCACAAACCACTTTAGCAAATATAACTTTTTCTACTTGTAATCTGTTTCCCATAATCGCTCAGTGAAACTATTAGTCAAGATCACCATCAAAACTGACCAGAGTACAGTTCTCATGGATAATCTTCATTATACACCCAAATTATATCTTACAGTAGTTTATAACACTACTGAGCATTAATTTTAATCTGTTTCTATGTCTTGTTTTTAAATTGATACATCAAATTCCATCTTTTGTGATGGATTAAACATTCTTCCTCAAATACTCAAAACCACCTGTAGATAATTAAACATTAAAAATCTTATTTCTCGGTACAACAGCCCACATTTCTCAGTATATATTATGTATAAATCAGCACTACACTGGAGACAGGGAAAACATGCAGGGCATTTCCAAAAACAAAAAGCAATTCTCATATAAATAGGGCCACTTATCTACAATAGCAATAGCCCTTAGACTTATATATCACTTCACAGTGCTTTATAGCCCTCTCTAAGCTGTTTATAGAGTCAGCATATTGCCCCCAACAATCTGGATCCTCAATTATTACCTGTTGACAGCCAAACCTATACGACATTTTTTTCTCCTCCATCTAGTAGCGGAGTTTGATCTCAAACAATTATGACACATAAATGTGTATGTACAAGACATACCTGGGCAGAACTCTTGACACCTATATTTATTGAGAAAGAAGTTGGGAGTGAGCAGAGCAGGACTGCTTCCTCATACCCTCCCCCCCCGAACTGCAAGTCAGCTAGCTCATGTAATCCCCCCTTTCTTTTTAGGCAACGCAAGCGAACCTCGATCTTTTTCCCTCCATCGCCACTGAAACGACTTTCTACTCCGCCCCCTCCCCCCCCCCAGAATTCCGCGATCGGTTTTACAAATGCAGAGCCCGCGTCCGATTACCTGCGAAAGCGGAGATAGTCCACAAAACTACCATCCCCGGCGCCCCCTCAGCGCACAACCTCCCCAGGCCCCCTGGCTTGGCTCCCCTCTCCCATCAGGCGCCGGAATCGGTGGCCCCAGCACAGCTCGTCGCGCGCCCGCCCGCCCGCCCGCCCGCGCGCGCACCCAACGCCAACGTACCTGCGGGGCAGAATTAAGGCGCGCGGGTGGGGGGGAAGGGGAGGAGGAGAATTTCTCCCCCCCCCCGGACTGGAGGCTCCGGGCCCAAGCCGCCGAAGGGGGTCCAGGTTATCGATTTTCACCGGAGACCCGAGATGCTCCTGGCTCTGCCGGATGAGACGGGAGGATGGCGTGAACGGGGGAGACGGTAGCAGGCCCAGCGGCCCCCTCGCCCCACCGGAGAACGAAAGCTGCAGCCTGCGAGGGACGGAGGCAGAGAGGAGAGGCGGCTGAAGGACCCGGGCGCTCCCGCGGGCGAGGGGCAGGGGGAAGGATACCACCGGTGCCCCCCCACCCCGCGGCCGTCACCTTATCCAGCCAGACCTTCCTCTCTCTCCCTGCCCCCCAGTTTTTTTCCCCTCCAGAGCTCCGCCTCCCTCACGCAGAACCCGTGACACCGAACCCGGCCGCGACGTCAACGTCATCACGCAAGCGCGAGATTCCCCCCCCCTTGTTCGGACGCCGCGGCTAAGAGAGAGAGAGAGACAAGGAAGAGGAAGGATTAGCACGAGGGCGACCATGGGAAACCCGGGGCAGCGCCTCAGAGCTCCCTGAACGACAATTCCCAGCAGATTCGGCGAAAGAGCAAGGAATGCTGGGAGTTGGGGTTTAATACCTTGAAGAACGCGGATGCGTCCAACTCTTTGGTCGGGAGAATGTGTGGCCTTCATGTACATGGAATATTAGACGCGCACGCAACACACAAAGTCTCTCTCTCTCTCTCTTTTTCTTTCTTTCTCTCTATTTCTCTCTCTCTCTTTCTCTTTTTCTTTCTTTCTCTCTCTTTCTCTCTCTATCTATTTCTCTCTTTTTTCTCTCTTTTTCTTTCCCTCTCTCTTTGTTTTCTCTCTCTCTCTCCTTCTTTCTCTCTCTTTCTCTCTTTCTCTCTCTCTTTCTCGCTCTCTTTCCTTTCTATTTCTCTTTCTCTTTTCTCTCTTTTTCTTTCTTTCTCTTTCCTTCTTTCTCTATTTCTCTCTCACTCTTTATCTCTTTCTTTTTTCTCTCTTTTTCCTTCTTTCTTTTTCTATTTCTTTCTTTCTCTATTTCTCCTTTCTCTCTTTTTCTTTCTCTATTTCTTTCTCTTTTTCTTTCTCTCTTTTCCTCTCTTTTTCTTTCTTTCTCTCTTTCTCTCTTTCTTTTTCTTTCCCTCTTTGTTTTTTTCTCTCTCCTTTCTCTCACTCTTTCTTTCTTTTTCTTTTTCTTTCTCTGTCTCCCTCTCTCTTTCTCTCTTTCCTTCTTTCTCTCTATTTCTCTTTCTCTTTTTTCTCTCTTTCTTTTTTCTTACTTCCTTTCCTTCTTTATTTCTCTATTTCTCTCTCTTTATCTCTCTTTTTCTTTCTTTCTCTCTCTTTTTCTCTCTTTTTCTTTCATTCTTTCTGTTTCCTTTCTCTCTATTTCTCTCTTTCTCTTTTTCTTTCTCTCTATTTTTTTCTTTCTACCTCTCTATTTCTCTTTTTTTCTCTCTCTATTTCTCTTTCTCTCTTTGTTTTTCTCTTTCTTTCCTTTTTTCTTTCTATCTTTCTTTACCTCTATTTTTCTTTCTCTATTTTTTCTCTTTTTCTTTCTCTCTCTCACTATTTGTCTCTCTTTGTCTCTTTTTTTCTCTTTTTCTTTCTCTTTCTCTCTTTCCTTTTTTCTTTCTTTCTCTCTATTTTTCTTTCTCGCTCTGTCTCTTTCCTTCTATTTCTCTTTTTCTTTTTTCTTTCTCATTCTTTCTCTCTTACTTTCTTTCCTTCTCTCTCTCTCTCTCTCTCTTTCTTTTTCTCTCTCTTTCTATATTTCTCGCTCTCTTTTCTTTCTATTTCTATTTTTCTTTTCTTTCTTTCTCTTTTCTACTTTCTCTATTTCTTTCCTTCTTTCTCTCTCTTTCTTTCTCTCTATTTCTCTCACTCTCCCTCTTTCTCTCGCTCTTTCTTTCTCTTTCTCTTTTTCTCTTTCTTTCTCTCTATTTCTCTTTCTTTCTCTCTCTCCCTTTCTTTTTCTTTCTTCCTCTCTCATTTTCTCTCTCTTTTTCTTTCTCTCTCTTTCTTTTTCTCTCTTTCTCTCTCTTTCTTTCCTCCTGTGTTTCGTTCTCTCTCTATTTCTTTCTCTTTTTTCTTTCTTTCTGTCTCTCTATTTCTCTCTCTCCCTCTCTTTCCTTCTTTGTTTCATTCTCTTTCTCTTTCTTTCTATCATTTTCTTTCTCTCTTTTTTCTTTCTCTCTTTTTCTTTCTCTCTTTCCTTGTTTCTTTCTTTTTCTCTCTATTTCTCTTTCTCTCTTTCACTCTCTCTTTCTCTCTTTCTATCTTTCTCTATCTTTTTCTTTCTTTCTCCCGCTCTCTTTCTCTCTCTTTCTACTTCTCTCTCTCTCTTTCTCTCTTCTCTCTATTTTATTCTCTCTTTCTTTCTCTTTCTCTCTCTCTATTTCTCTTTCTTTCTTTCTCTTTTTCTTTCTTTCACTCTCTTTCTCTCTCTCTCTCTTTTTCTCTCTCTTTTTCTTTCTTTCTCTTTTTCTATCTCTCTTTTTCTTTCTTTCTCTCTTTTTCTTTCTCTCTTTCTCTTTTTCTTTCTCTCTCTTTCTCTGTTTCTCTTTTTTCTCTCTTTTTCTTTCCCTCTCTCTTTGTTTTCTCTCTCCTTCCTTCTTTCTCTCTCTCTTTCTCTCTCTCTTTCTCTCTCGCTCTCTTTCCTTTCTCTTTCTCTTTTCTCTTTTTCTTTCTTTCTTTCTCTTTCCTTCTTTCTCTATTTCTCTCTCACTCTTTATCTCTTTCTTTTTTCTCTCTTTTTCCTTCTTTCTTTTTCTATTTCTTTCTCAAATTTCTCCTTTCTCTTTCTTTCTCTATTTCTTTCTCTTTTTTTTCTTTCTTTCTCTCTTTCTCTATTTCTCTTTTTCTTTCCCTGTTTTTTTCTCTCTTTCCTTCTTTCTCTCACTCTATCTTTCTTTCTCTTTCTTTTTCTTTCTGTCTCCCTCTCTTTCTCTCTTTCCTTCTTTCTATTTCTCTTTCTCTTTTTTCTCTCTCTTTTTCTTTCTTTTTTCTTACTTCCTTTCCTTCTTTATTTCTCTATTTCTCTCTCTTTATCTCTCTCTTTTTCTTTCTCTCTCTTTCTCTCTTTTTCTCTCTCTTTTTCTTTCATTCTTTCTCTGTTTCCTTTCTCTATTTCTCTCTTTCTTTCTCTTTCTTTCTCTCTATTTTTTTCTCTCTCTACCTCTCTATTTCTTTTTTTCTTTCTCTCTATTTCTCTTTCTTTCTCTTTGTTTTTCTCTCTTTTTCTTTCCTTTTTTCTTTCTATCTTTCTTTACCTCTCTTTTTCTTTCTCTATTTTTTCTCTCTTTTTCTTTCTCTCACTATTTGTCTCTCTTTGTCTCTCTTTTTTCTCTTTTTCTTTCTCTCTTTCCTTTTTTCTTTCTTTCTCTCTCTTTCTTTAGGAGAGAGAAAAAGAAAGAGATAAAGAAGGAAAAAAGAAAGAAAGAGAGAGAGATAAAAAGAAAGAAAGAGCGAGACAGAGAAAGGAAGATAAAGAGAAAAAGAAAAAAGAAAGAGTGAGAAAGAGAGAATGAAAGAAAGGAAGAGAGAGAGAGAAAAAGAGAGAGAAAGATAGAAAGAGGGAGACAGAAAAGAAAGAGTCTTTCTCTCTATTTCTATTTTTCTTTTTTCTTTCTTTCTTTCTCTTTTCTACTTTCTCTATTTCTTTCCTTCTTTCTCTTTCTTTCTCTATTTCTCTCACTCTCCCTCTTTCTCTCTTTCTCTTTCTATTTTTCTCTCTTTCTCTCTCTTTCTCTTTCTTTCTCTCTTTCTTTTTCTTTCTTCCTCTCTTTTTCTCTCTTTTTCTTTCTCTTTCTTTCTTTTTCTCTCTTTTTCTCTTTCTTTCTTTCTCTCTTTCCTCCTGTGTTTCGTTCTCTCTCTCTCTATTTCTTTCTCTTTTTTCTTTCTTTCTGTCTCTCTATTTCTCTCTCTCCCTCTCTTTCCTTCTTTGTTTCATTCTCTCTTTCTTTCTGTCATTTTCTTTCTCTCTCTTTCTTTCCTTGTTTCTTTCTTTTTCTCTCTATTTCTCTCTTTTTTTCTCTCTTTCATTCTCTCTTTCTCTATTTCTCTCTCTATTTCTCTCTTTCTCTATCTTTTTCTTTCTTTCTTTCTCCCTCTCTCTATTTCTCTCTCTTTCTACTTCTCTCTCTCTCTTTCTCTCTTCTCTCTATTTTATTCTCTCTTTCTTTCTATTTCTCTCTCTATTTCTCTTTCTTTCTCTATCTTTTTCTTTCTTTCACTCTCTTTCTCTCTTTTTTCTCTTTCTTTCTTTCTCTTTTTCTTTCTCTCTCCTTTCTCTCTCTTTCTCTCTCTCTTTCTTTCTCTCTTTTTTCTTTCTTTCTCTCTATTTCTTTCTTTCTTTCTCCCTTTCTTTTTTTCTCTCTTTCTCTCTCTCCTTCTTTCTCTTTCTTTCTCTCTTTTTCTCTCTTTTTCTTTCTCTTTCTTTCTTTCTTTTTCTTTTTTCTTTCTCTCTATTTCTCTTTTTTTTCTTTTTCTTTTTTCTCTTTCTCTCCTTCTTTCTTCTCTTTTCTTTTTTCTTTCTCTCTCTCTTTCCTATTTCTCTTTCTTTCTTTCTCTTTTTCTTTCTTTCTTTCTCCCTCTCTCTATTTCTCTCTCTTTCTACTTCTCTCTCTCTCTTTCTCTCTTCTCTCTATTTTATTCTCTCTTTCTTTCTATTTCTCTCTCTATTTCTCTTTCTTTCTCTATCTTTTTCTTTCTTTCACTCTCTTTCTCTCTTTTTTCTCTTTCTTTCTTTCTCTTTTTCTTTCTCTCTCCTTTCTCTCTCTTTCTCTCTCTCTTTCTTTCTCTCTTTTTTCTTTCTTTCTCTCTATTTCTTTCTTTCTTTCTCCCTTTCTTTTTTTCTCTCTCTTTCTCTCTCTCCTTCTTTCTCTTTCTTTCTCTCTTTTTCTCTCTTTTTCTTTCTCTTTCTTTCTTTCTTTTTCTTTTTTCTTTCTCTCTATTTCTCTTTTTTTTCTTTTTC